GTTGTAAACGTTGCATCCTTCTGGTCTCCAGGACGAGAAGGGCGAGGGTGAGGCAAGGATGGGAATGATGTTGATGCTAGTGATGACAACGATGAGGATGATGATGGTGATGTTGATGATGACGACGACGGCGACGACGACGACGGTGATGATGATGATGATGGTGCTGATGCTGCTGATGATGATGATGATGCTGCTGCTGATGATGATGATGGTGATGGTGATGAAGATGAAAAGGAGCAGCAGGAGGAACAGCAGGAAGAACGCCGCTCGACGTCGAGAGGCAGGGTGCCGGAGAACGGCCGCGCAAGCGTGGGGGCTCTGTTCCGAGATACGAGAGCTGCCCCCGGGCGGGCGCGCTCAGGCAGCTGAAGCCGCCGGCAGCGCGCCTCATCTCACCTGATGGGAGGCTTTGGCCAGGCATTGCGTTGCTTTCACACTTGGCGGTTTCGCCCAGTTCTGGCTTGGGGCCATCACATATCGACCCGGCTCGAGAAATGCCGCTAAACATGGAGTCTTGGACTCTGGTCGTGTTTTCTCTCGGTGCTGTATTTTTGTTGGCCGCGTCGGATGTCAGGGCCTCCCTCTCGTTCTGCTGATGCTGCCCCTTCTCCTCCTTCTCCTCCTTCTCCCCAACCCCGCCCACCCCCCCCCCAGACACCCGCGCAGACCCCAGCCACCCACCCAGACCCGCCCGCCCCACAGACACATACACACAAACGCACGCACGCAAGCACGCACGCACACACACACACACACACACACACACACACAAAAAAAAAAAAACACACACACACAAACACAGACAGACACACACACAGACACACACACACACTCTTCATCCAGCAGCGACGTAGCGGCACCGTCGCGAGCACTAAAACCGGCCACGTTTTGTCGAATTTCACCTGCCCTAGCATATGTGTAGACTGGGCAAGGCAGTCGCGTGCAGAAAAGGCGCCGAGGCGCGGCATGCACGCGGAAGAAACCGGCGAACGGCCATGAAAGGTGCAGAGGCAGAGTCCGCACGCCACCTGGGTGACAGGTGGGCATGGGCTGAGAGACGGAGCCGTGCGGTACGAGCGCAGAGAGTGCAAACCGGGCGCCGCTGGCGGCGCCCACACACATACACAAACACACAATCACACGCACACATGCACACAAACACACACATACACACACACGCCTGGGAATGTCAAGCGGCGAGGTCCCCCTTGGCGGCGAGGCCGAGGCGAGCTGGTGAGTTGGACCATGAGGACCTCCCACCGCTCGACAAGCCCAGGCCGACGCACCCGACGCCTTGGAAGCACGACCTCCATGTGCAGCTCATCACGAGTGTGGAGTGTTGCCGCGCTTGCAATGTCTGTGTCAAGAATAGCGGCGCCTCGAGCTGCGTTCCATGAGCGACCAGTGCCTGGAACACTGTGTGCCGCTGGTCATGGCGCTGATGAACCACCCGACCACGAAGGCGCTGATCAGCGTTCAGCGGACGCGGCCCGTCGAGCGGGAGCGCGTCATGCGCGACGTCGCACATGACACCTGCTGTCGGGCTCGGACGGGCCCGCCGCCGAATGTGTGGCTGGACTGAGGGGCAACACGCCCAGCACGGCCAGCGGCCGCCCCTCGCCGGGGGCCCGCAGCTCACACCAGCCCCGCGGGCGGAGCGCCAGCGCCAGGACGGAACCGTGGGACGCCGACGAGAACTGCCACCTCGTCACTGGGGCCTGCAATTGGCATGGCTGTTCACCGCGCCTGGCCGCGCTGAACTGGCGAACCTGCCGCAGACTCTGCTCGGCGCGCAGGCAGGGTCCCAGGGTCCCATGTGGGGGTCGAGGCCCCGGGGTGAGGTGCCGACAGCGAGGGAGGCGTCAAGACTGCTTTCTGACCAGCGGGCATGAACGCGCGCGCTGCCACGAACCCCCCCAAAGGCTCGATCAGGGACCTTTGGAGCTGCGCGACGTGTTGCGCCTCGAGACGTGCAAACGCCGCCGCGATACCTCCAGGTGCTGGCGCCTGGAATGTTGGGGAACTTCCGCCAGTGCGAAGAGCCCCAGTCGGAGGCGGGACAGGGTCGCGGTTTCCGAGTGAGCAGGCGTATTGCAGCGCAGCAGTGCGGACCACTCGGACGGCCAGTACGCCACGCTCAGCGCCGAAGCGGCCGTTGGAAGTGGGGTGCCAACACATGGGCAGACCTCCCGCAAACGCCAGGGGCATCGCGCCAGAGAGTCGGCTCGGCAACGAGCTGGCGCAGCCCGGGCGGCAAACCTCTTGCTCGAGGAGGCGGCGGAAGTGATGGTGGTGACGGTGCCCGCAAGAGTGTCCACGCAAGGGGACCCAGCGGAACCGGGCCGGAGCGCCCGAAAAGGGGCAACTAATGCGTACTGTTGGCAAGGGTCGCTACTATCAAGCTCACTCACGATTCGCAAAACAAAGTTCCAAATCATTCCGCTATGGTGTTGCGGCCACGTCGATCCACTCATCTGTCGCGGCTGCAATTCTCAAGACCATCTCCACACACTTGCGTGTATCATCTACCCATCGCGTTGTTGGCCTCGCCTGTCTGCGAACAGGTTGCCGGGACTCTGTGTGCAGAGCGGGCTCCCACATCAAGACTGTGTAGGTCCAGTTGTGACGGTTGGAGACGACTTGAGATGCCCATCTCCATTGTCCTCCTTCGCTGGGTAGACATCCAGTCATCAATGCCCAGCTTCCCCAACAAATGTTGCACTTTATATGTAGATCGTTTTATCCAGTCGACCCATGGCTCGAGGTGGTCATCTTCGCTCTGGTGGCCGTTGTCAAACAGTGCTGTGACGGCCCTGAGGTGGCGGAGATGGCGGCGGAGGTGGTGGCTAACAAATGGCCCAGGTGGTGTGCACACTTCAAGGGCCACAGGAGCCCGAAAGTGAAGAACAACTCGGGACAGCTTCCTTCATGACCTTTCCTTCACCACGGCGAAGTATCATGGGACGCACAGAGACGTACTAGTACCATATGTCCTCCTTGGAGGCGTGCGTCCGACCCGAACATGTAGTACAAGCATCTCGTAGAATATCGTTTCCCGAGACATATGGCCAGAAAGTGCCCGCCACGGAGCGTATCATATAAGATTTCGCGGTGCGCGCGTCGCCCTTGTGGGCGACGCATACGCGTAGTACTAGCATGTTGGGGTGGCGCCGATCTCATAATCATGTTCCTGCTCCCCGCATCCCGAGTCCGCGGCAGTCCGATGGGGTCCTCATCTGTCCAGCGGGGCGCTCGTCTGCAGTGAGCGGCGTACTTGTCACGAAGCGATTCGGAAGACGAGGGCGTGTTGCACCGTGTGCGGCTCCGATATGGACTTCTGTGCGGGAAGAGCAAGCGACCACACCAACATCGAGGACAAACATACTTTGAGGGATGTGTTGCGCATGCCGGAAGTTGTCGAAACACCAGAACCAGCTTCGTACTGAGTGCTGGTTGCTGTCGATGTGGCGTTCCAGGGCGGCCGAATCACAACTAAAGTGCTCATGTCGAGGTCGGTGGGTTCTCCCCCGAAGGGCCCTCCCGAAAAATCCACTTAATTGTGGCTGCGGTTCTTGGTTGTGCCAAGATTCTGGGTCAACTACATTCGGGCATAACGCCCCGCGATGCGCGACACGCGGTTATCTCCGCGCCCTCGCGAAGCAACCTAGGAGAAGGACAGCTCTCTGGCCCAGGCTGCGAATCGCGATGCGTGATTCTAGTTTGGCTCCTGGGGGTGACCACCTGCGGACTTGTTCCTCCTCGCTCGTCCTCCTACCACTACCATGTACTTCCTTCTGTTTCCCTCCTCCGACATAGTCGAGATCTGGCCCTTGGCTACCACATCTGCAGGTATGACCAAGATGCAGCTGAGCATGGCAGGACGAGCAGCGCTGAGCGACTACATCGTGAATGCCTTCGCCAATCTGGCTTTCGACAGAAGCATGTAATACTCGACTCCGTGCGGCATAAAGATATAGCACAGATGTTTGTATATACACATATCGATACATGCATCTAAATCACATATGTAAATATGTAAATTTATATGCGTAAATATCTTTGTATCGGGTGTAGCGTATACGATGTAGCCTGTAACGGGTCGCACAGCCTGCAACACATTGGATGCAGCCTGCAATCCATGATATATGGATTGCGTGCTAGGCGAAGCAGTGGCGTAGTACATGAGGTGCACAGCTGGAGCACGAACCTTGGACTTCATCTACAGGCAAGGGGCTGTGTTGTTTTAGGCGTAACTTCTGGAAGGTCATCCATGGGTTGCAGTATAGAGGTGCACCGGTGCAACCGATCAGGCGAAATATGTTGTGTGGAACCGATTGGCTGCAATACATGGTGTGCACTACATGGGCTTTGGTCTATCTGTGCAAGGTGCAATCCACGACCCACGACCCGCAGCGCAACGCGATCGCAAGAACCCTGCGCACCAGATGAGTGCCTCAGAGCGCAAGTGCTACCCTCTTGGGATGAGGAGAGCGACATGAGCACGATGCTGGAGGCGCTGATGTCGTTTTCCTCATCCCCTCTTCCCCTCCTGCTACTTCTTCCGTCTCCGTGCTGTCCATCCCACTCACCTTCGTCCTGACTCCTGCTCCTGCTCATACTTGTCCTGCTGTTCCTGCTGCGATGCTCTTCATGCTGCGGCCCAGCTGCTCCTCCAGCATCTCGTGTGTGTCCTCCTCTGGCGCCTTATCCTCTCAGTACTACTCTCAACTGGCCCTCGATCGGAATTGCTCCACCGACTGTCCGACCCGATAGCTAAGCGTCTCCCCCTGGTCCTGGTCGTCCTCCTGTTGCCAAATCCGATCTTTGTGCCACTCAGCTTCCTCCAACTGTTGACGTCAATCATTTCCATTCCATCCTCTCCTCAAGCAGGCACGTCTGCGGCGGGTCGGCAGGGCACGCCTTGCAGCTCAGAAAGGCGCTTCCCTGGTTGCCCTTGATGGTGATCCAGCCAACGGCACCATCCTTCTCGCAGCGACCTTCCCCCCGTCCCATCTCTGGGCATTGTCTGAATAGAGCGTGTCCGCAATCAACAGAATGACAATTTCATGCAAGCGCATTCAGTTGCGCCCTGATGAAGCCCTCTCCCTGCCAAGTAGATGGACGCGTCTCATGTTTTGGGGGAGGCGACATCGCGACACGACACGAGGCCTCCCAGATTTGACCTGTCTATACAATTGTGTACGGCACAGAGCCATCAGTACACTTGTACTGTGGGCGGATCAGAATCTCTGTCGGGCAGGCGGATGCGGGGAAGTCTAGGACGCCTCGAATAGCATGGGCCACGTCCCCTGGCTGAATCTTCTTCTCCCTCACCATGCCCGGATTCGCCGCGGTCATGTCGGTGTCGGTAAATCCCGGCATTATGATGCACACCTTCACGCCCTTGTCACGAACCTCCTCGAAGAGGGACCCGACGAAGCCTTTCAGAGCATGTTTGCTGGCACTTGGAGGCGGCCAGGGGGTCTGAGCTGGATAAGCCTAGAGAAAGTCTGTCCAGAGTGGGAGTTGAAGGCAAATTCGCTCAAAATCGGTCCCCAAACCCCCTCCTGGGGTCGAAACTGACTAGCTTGTCGAGCCGCGTCCATCCGTCCTCCCATTCTACATTCTACTGGCGAGAACCAGAACTGGCCCGCCTCAGTTTGGTATATGTTCCATGGGAGCCTACGTGGCGCCCAGCGCTGTCCGAATCGGATCTGATTTAGGGCAAACTTTGGAACACAATTTGGGACTGGATGTGGACCGGATTTGGACCAGACTCACCCCTTCACAAGGGAGACGAGACGAACGGGGAGGGGGAGGAGCAACAGGATGGGCGAGGAGGAGCAGGAGGAGGGGCCAACTGCGGTCCAAATGCAGGAAGAGCTGATTCCAATGTCGCCGCCCACGGCTCCCATGAACTGACATCGAGCCTCAGCCCCCCAGCCGGCTCCAAGCTGGCACAGTAGCCGGCGCCATACGGCCACGACCACTGGGAGCCCGTGCTCCCGATCACGATGACGGCCCTCGAGCCGATCGAGGGCGCGGGCCCCTCGAGGATGTGTGGCAACGCCGCGTGGGTCAGGGCCATGGTGCCCTTCACGTTCACGTCGAGCTCCTCCTCCCGGACAGGAGCAAAAAAGCACGTGGGCGACGAGAACAAAAGGGTCTTAGGCGAGGTAGGCACAGTGACGTCACGCCGCGGTCTACGCGGGCTGCCGGCGACGGCACGCTACATTGGAAACGAAGGCACTGACGCGCGGCCTTGCGCGGGAAGCTGACGCGGGAGGCTTACGCGCGAATGTCCTCGCAGTCGACCCCGATTTCTTCCGACGCTCATGTCTTGGCGCGGGCATCCATTTCGAGACGTCGGTCCTGTTGGCAGAGGCGACTGCCAATAAGTCGAGGGCTTCGGGCCCCTGCGGTGGTCCTGGATCTGGCCGAAAGCGGCGCGTTCCCACGAAACGCCGACGGCAGCATCCCAGCTGGATGTACGTCGACCGGCATCTCGACCAGTGCCCGTGTGCAGAAATGCTGGGCGGTCCTGGGCCTTCGAAGTGCTGCGCTGGCGGGTTGGCCACCCAAGAGGAGCCCAGCCAGTGACACTGTTTTGTCATCGGGGCTGGCGCAGCCGCTGTCCGAAGTCGGATGCCAGCATGCATGTTGTGATGTTTCCCGTGGTGACCTTGGGATGGCTTCGGGTTGCGCGCAGACAGCCACCCCAAGTGGTCCCGGCTGGCCTCAACAGGCCCCCCGAATAGCCCCAGCGGGCATCAACAGGCCCCCGGGGTAACCTGGGGCGGTCTCAGCAACCCAACCCTTGGGCGCGGAGCACCCCAGGGGCGCCGCCAGAGGCAACACCAAGGTGTTGAGACTGCCCCACTGCTCGGGGGACCTGATGCGGCCAGCCGGCACTACTCGGGGGGCCTTGAGGCCAGCAGGGACTAACTGGGGGGCCGTGTGCGCGCAGCCAGAAGCCTTACCAGGTGACCTCCTCGTTTGTCCACCTGCCACCCTGTCCGGTCCTCCCATCGGGCGGGGTCGCCACCCAACACGCTGGTGGCCAGAAGCACGGCCGCGTTGCAGACCAGCACGGATACGCCGCCGAATGCCTTCGCTGCTTGCGCAACATACTCGGCTCACTCAGGAGGGGTCCCTGGGTAAGGTCATCGGGGTCATCATGCTCTTCTCGGCCGGAGCACTGGCATGTTGCATAGACTGGTTCGCATCCTTTCTCTAACTCAGTTTGGTTCTACATTGTTCCGCCCAAGCGTGGCCACTGAGGGCAAGGCACAACGTCTTCAAACGCATCAAGGCTTGACCCTCTGAGTCGAAGCCCTCCCAAAATGAATGATGAAGTGTGATCGATGTGCGAGTGGGGGTCTAGACGCAGACCCTACAGTGGTCACAGGAACTGTTCCTTAGCGAACTAGTCCCAGGGGGCTCCTTGTCAAACCACCCCCGAAACCTCGATCATCACCAGAGAGATTCTCCCTTAAGGGCTGCTCCCTGCGGCGGGAGGGGGGGGGAGAGGTGGCCCTCCTCATCCGGCATACAGGAAGAGGTAGCCCGAGGAGCACGGGGTAAGAAGGGGCTCCCCAACACGCAATCGGCAAATGTCCAGGGGCACACACAAGCTGCGAAGGGACTGCGAGCAACCAACCGAAAAGGGAGACTGAACAAATTGGCATGGAGCAAACGGATCATTAGAGAAACGGGTCCTGGGCCACGGTGCCTTCTTCCGAAGAAATCCACGAGGGGCCTCCCGCAAGGACCCCTCGGCTCGGCTGCCTCCGGGGGCCATCGGACGCTGTACGCCGCTACAGGAGGAGAACAATGTCACGACACGATTGGCAATTGGCTTAGGGGGCGTTCCAGGATTTCCCGAGTATCCGGCGGCCCTCGTTTCTGGAGCCCGTGCGAAGCAACAGGGAATCTTGAAACCCTGGCAATCTGGGAACGTATTATTCTCCAGAGGCCTCCTAGATGGGGTCAGAGTAGATGGGGCCAAACGGTTGCACCGAAGCGGCAATGCATCGGCGATGCATCGCCGCCTTCGGCGTGAAGAAAATCGGTATCCACATTCACCCCTAATGGCGGTGCATCGGCGACACGGCACGATTGTTCGACCCCATCTACACTGACCCCATGTGGGAGGCCTAGATTATCATGACTTCTTGCTCCTCTGAAGAAGCGTCCCATTGGGCCGTCGATGCTCGACCCTGACCCCCCTCGGCTGGCCCAGCTCGGGAGTGGGCCGACCCAGCGCAGCGCAAACACGACTAAGCCGATTATGAAAACACTACGCTGGAATGTGTGTGTGGTGTGTGTGGGAGTGGGGGGGGAGCTTCCAAAACCCGCCTCGGCCAGGATGCAAGGCCACCTCCATGGCCGCGAGCGTCTCGCAAACAAGGCTCAGTCCAAATCTGGCTCTGCTCGGGCGTTGGCAAGACTGAGTTCAGTGGGACCTGGTTTAGTAATGTGTACGGGGGGTTGCCCCCCCGCCACACTTCACTGACAGGAGCTGCCGCGACCCGAAGATACAACAGCTACGGCAGACCCGGTTTAGTGATTCTGGCCCACTCTTTTGACTGGGGGGCCCAATCACTAAGATCCGGATCTGCAAGATCCTGCAGGATCCGACGCTCTGGCTGAGCCCCACTTTTGCACTGAACGCCGCTATATTCTTGCTGGCCAACCAACCGGAAGGCCGCCCGCCCGCCCGGGCTTCCATTCCGGTTTCTCCCCCAGCGGGCCGCGACGACGTCGCGGACCGCGGCGGCGAGCTGCTGGCGGTCCCGCTGGTGGGGTCGGAGGACAAGGGGGGGCTTCCTAGACATGGTCGCGTCGCGACAACGTCACGACGGGGGGTTCTGGCCGTTCTCGGCCCCTGGGAGCCCCTGCCGGACCCAGGGACCGTCAGAAAACGACTCGGGGTGAAAAACTGGCCCTGGGGAGAGGGTCGGGAATGCCAGGGACCCCGTACTGACAAAATCAAGACATCGCACGTCTGGGTCAGGAAAGGGGGGTCAGCGAATCAGCTCACGCCGCCGATTTTCCCCGCGCCTCCCAGCGCCGGGGGCGCCAATGTACCAAGGAAAGCGCAAGGCTGCGGGACCGAAACAACTGCACGCAGCAAATGTCGCAATCCCCCCTGTCCCCGTCCCCCCCCTTTCGTCCGGCCCGAACTGGTCGGCCACAAAGGCCAGCGCCACGCTGCCCGCTGCAGTGCTCTCCGCTGGCCGGACTCGGGGTGCAGCTCGTGCGAGGCGTGGATTTACCCAGACGTGCTCGCGCCGTGAGTAAAATCGCTACGGCAAGTTTTTGTTACGGATTCAAAAATCGTCTCGGGATGAAGAACTGGCCCTGGAAAGAACGTTTGGACCTCGTATGGGAAAAAACGGACCTCGCATCTCTGGGTCCAGCACCACCTCCCAGGGGGATCGATTTTCGTGGACCTCGACAGGCGGTGGAAATGGATGTCACAGTGGGGGGGCCGAACGGTCTTACACCATCGCTAGGCGCGTGGCTGTAGTGGGTGCTCCGCGGTGCGGATTGTCTTTGGTTGCTATTGTTGCTCTTGTTGGTCGTCGTCGCCCTGCGACCCACCCGCGCCTCGACCCACCCTCGACCCACCAGCGCAACGACCCACCAGCGCCGCGACCCATCTGCGACCCACCCACACTGTGACCCACCCGCGCCCCCTCACTTTTATCTGCAACTGCGGGGACTAGGTACTTGGCCACCCTAGAGATCGAATATACGTATCCATGTCCACCGCCTGCCGAGGTCCCCGAGGAACGATCCCCCAGGCGGTGGTGGAGGATACACCCCCGCTTCGCTCGGCGCCCGGTCGGACCCCCCCGCTTCGCTCGGCTGAGAAAAGATCACGACGTGAGGTGTCTGTTGCAGCCCTCGGGTGTCCCGGGCAGCCAGCCTCCGCCCCCAAGCCCGGCCACTTCGATGCGGCGGGCCTTCGCCGGAGGCTCCCGCGGCTCCTCGGGCACCGCACTCCCCACTCTCCCTTCCCTTCCTGCCCCACCGTCCCTTCCCCAGTCGCCCCCTCCTAGCTCAACCTCGCTCCCTCACTCCCTCTCAGCTCCCTCTTAGGAGGGAAACCTGCCTACGTACACTCTTACCACGGCGGCCACGCGCCTCGCGTCGCGGCGGTCACAGTGGGGCGAGTGCTCGCGGCGAGCGGCGAAGACGAGAGGGCCCTGGGGAAGCGGCGGCCTTAGCGGCGAACAAGATACACACAAACACACACACACACACACACACACTAAAAAAAAAAACGCGCGCACGCACGCACGCACGCACGCACCCAGCCGACCCAGCCCACCCCCAACCAGACACCCGCGCAGACCCCAGCCACCCACCCAGACCCGCCCGCCCCACAGACACATGCACACACAAACACACACACACACACACACACGCGCGCGCACGCACGCACGCACGCACGCACGCACGCACACACATTCACAGACACACAGACACACAGACACACAGACACACAGACACACAGACACACAGACACACAGACACACAGACACACACACACACACACAAACACACAAACACACACACACACACACACGCACGCACGCACACGCACGCACGCACGCACGCACGCACGCACAACATACATACACACACACACACACACACACACGCGCGCACACACGCGCACACACGCGCACACACACGCACACACACAACACACACACACACACACACACACGCGCGCGCGCATGCACACGCACGCACGCCCACGCCCACGCCGATATCTCATTTGGGCATCCCCTTCTCCTTGGCGGGGCAAGGGGAACGGGCGTACGAATGGTGGGTGTGGTCTTGCCTGCCAGCCGCTCCCTCCCAACCCGTGAACAACCCCCCCCCCCCCCAGGTGCAAAAATGCCTGACATCCTCGAAGGGGCGGCCCTCTCTCACCCCTCGAAAACCTCCGTAGCTCCCCCTGAGCCCTTGCCTGCGCCCCCCCCGCTCGCCCTCTCACACTACGACCAGAAGCCAAAATCTGCCCAGGAGGAGCACGGGCAACGCCGGGGGAAGACCCACAGGAGGACCCAGGGAACGTCGAGCCCAACTCGAACACATAGAATCTAGAAGGGTCCAGGGAGCATCGAGCCCACAGAAGGACCCAGGGAACATGGAAGGGACCATCACACTGACCCAGAATTTTGACTGAAACGGTACGGCTTGGAGATGCTTGGAGGCGGCCTGGGAGTCTGAGCTGGGTAACCTCAGAGAATATCGATCAAAATGGCAGGGTCTCAGGAACAAAAGCGCAAACAAACACGGTCCCCAAAGCCCTCCAGGGTTTCAAACTGACCAGTTCTTCGAGCCGCGTCCAGCCGTGGCGACGAGGGAAGCCCTTATCCCTTCTTCCTGCTGGCCGGAACCAGTGGTGGCCCACCTCAGCCCCCCAGCCAGCTCTATGGCGGCGGGAACATCGAAGGGAATAACGCCCCGGTCCCAGAGCAATGGCTGCAGCGATGCGGCCGCGGGCGTGGGTACGCTCGCACCTGGACGACTTGAGCTTCCCCTCCCCGACGCATTCCGGTGGAGCAGGGCCGAGGTTCGAGGCTCCGCGGGGAGGTGGCCCTGAGATCCCTGCGTCGCATGTTTGTGTGCAACGGGCGACTTTACCCCGTTTCGAGCCTCGGGGCCTCGGGGCCCTCACAGTGACATATGGGTCCTCTTTAAAAAGCCGCAGAAAGATTAGGTACAGGGCTTCGTCAAGACGTTCAGATGTCCTGACCACCTTTAACTTCAAGGCAGGAGTAGGAGGACGAATGGGAGAGGGAGGACCGAGGTTTATGGTGCTCGTTGAGAGGGAGGAGAAGGAAGAGGAGGATGATGATGAGGAACAGGATGGGCAAGCACGAGGCCCAATACTTTTCGGGGAAAGAGGACGAGAAGGTCGAGGAGGAGGAGGAGGAGGAGGACCACGAAGGAGCAGGAGGAGGAGGAGGAGAAGGAGGGAGGAAGAAGAGGGAGGACCGAGGTTCGAGGTACGAGCTCGTCGAGGAGGAGGAGGGGGAGAACCAGTGTAAACCCAAGAGTAACCAACGATCTTGGAATTAACCCTCCCTCCAAGCTCCCTCTTGATAGGCCCCTACAACGGTTGGTTTCCATTGAGGGAACTGCCTCGTTGGAAGACAACCGTTCAAGACCTTGAAGCATGCCAACACATTGTTCTCGGGATTTCCACGCCACGGATCAACCTGACTGCTGCGTCCTGACGATCTGGAAACGTGCAGAACGCCATTTTGGGGGACTTTAACACCGCGAATCAACATAACTGCTTCGCCCGCATAATCCTGAATCCTTCCAAAACACCATTTCTGGTATGTTGGTCATGGGAACCCGTGAAATTATTGCAAATGTTTGTTTACATTAGGGAGAGTTGCACGGATTACGGGCGGGCCGTTTTGAAAATGTGGTTTTCGCCTTAGCGCCGCGCTCATTCGTTTTAAACACTTGCAAGATTTTCACGAATTGAGGTCGGGTCGTTTTCAAAATATGGCTCTCGCCTTAACGCCGCGCACATTCGTTTTGAACATGTGCAAGAGCTTCACGGATTGATGGCGGGTCGTTTTCAAAATGTGGCTCTCGCCTTAGCGCCGCGCACATTCGTTTTAAACATGTGCAAGAGCTTCACGGATTGATGGCGGGTCGTTTTCAAAATGTGGCTCTCGCCTGAGCGCCGCGTACACTCGCTTTAAATATTGAAAGGGGGTTCACAGACTGAGGGCGGCTCTTGCAAGCCACCCGCCCTCAATCCGCGAAGCCCTTGCCATTTTGAACCTTCAGACTCATGAATGGTGAGGAAGACTCAGGCGAAACTCCAGGCCCGCCCTAACAACTGGCCTCGGGGTGCGACATGGAGGAGGAGGAGGAGGAGGAGGAGGAGGAGGAGGAGGAGGAGGAGGAGGAGGAGGAGGGAGGAGGGAGGAGGGAGGAGGGAGGAGAGAGGAGAGAGGAGGGAGGCGGAGACTCGGGCTCCTCGTTCGGCGCCCCCGAGGAGGCGGCGGATGCTGGCGCTGCCGCCTCGCAGGCCGCGAGGGTGTCGGCCAGGGAGGGGGTGTCCTCGCTCTCGGGGAGGCGGTCGGAGGCCCCGAGATCTGGGCGTTGCAGTGTTTTTCGCATTGGGCGTTTTCGCCCAATTTCGGGCCACGGGACCATCACAGATCGACCTGGATCGAGAAATGCCGCCGGCTCCGGTCGTGATTCTTCGCGATGTCGATGTCGCGTTCTTTGTTTCGCAACATGGGATATCAGTGGACATGGGGACCCAAATCTCCCGATCATGTGTGTTTCAATCCTGGGGTGCTTTCCTCGATTTCGGCCTCTGGGGCCCGCCATTGGGTCCCCCCTGGGGACATCAAAAATGCATCGAGGGCGAAAGACTGGCCCTGGGTAAGGAGTCGGACCTCCTCGAAGGCCCTCTCCCGCCTGGGGAGGGAGCTGAGGGGCACTCGACGGTGTCGGCGCCAACGGCGGCGACGTCATGGTGCTGGAGTTGTCTCGGGCAACGTATGGCGGTCCTAGTCTCCACGGCTGGGCGCAGCCCGAGAAGCTGGCAAAGATGGATCGGGGGGGGAGAAGGGAGCGGATGGGGGAGGAGGACAAGAGGGGGAGGAGTTTCGCGGGGCGCGCTCGTCGCGTCGTGTTGCCAAGTGGTCTCCGTTACGATGAGGGGGAATAGGTGGCAGGCGGTGGCGACGACGGCGTGGGCACGGTGGTTACGCGGCCACGGCCGCAGGTAGCTAGTAGTTTCGTCAGACACCGCGGGAGAGTCCCTTTTGGCGCGAGCGCAGCAGCGGGGGGAGGAGTTTTGATGTCCCAGGCGAGGGGCAGGTCTTGGGGAGGCTTCCGAAGTGTGGCAGGTGCACGCCCGTATATGGACATGAGACCCTGGAATGCCTTGACTCATAGAGAACATAGATGCAACTGCCCAGCAGCACCCTCCAGGGATGTGCAAAACAGTAGCCGAACGTGCTGTGTCTGATCTCCCACCCATCCCTTTTTGCCTGCGCCCAAGTGTTCGACAGGTTGCAAGGCAATATCCGGCCTTTCTTCTTGCCGCGAGAACGCGCATGGTCGGGCTGGGAGCGCTACCCCTGTTTCTTCTTCTTCTCCTCTCTCTCACACTCTCTCTCCCTCTCTCTCTCTCTCTCGTTGTCGTGGTTCTCACTTCTCTCGTCCCCTCTGCTCTGTGCATGCTCGTCCACTGCGGCTGTTGTCGAACAAAGCAGAGCAGGGGGGGAGAGGGAGGGGGATGTGGAGGAGAGGGGGGAGGGGGAGGAGAAGAGGGGGAGGACAAGAAGGGGAGAGGGAGGTGGAGAAGGAGACGAGAAAGCGAGAGGGCTCGGGGAACACGAGGGAGAGGAGCGCGAGGGAGAGGAGAGGGGTTGCAGAGGAGGAGCGCAGGAGTGTCGCCGCGCCCAGGGAGAGGAGTCCCCGCTCGAGGTGGAGTCAGAAGGATTGTTGAGAGCGTTTTCCTTCAACGATATCTTCTACTTCACCGCGCCGGCGTCCCTGCCGAACAGGGCCACCCGGTAGCCCGCGCCCGCCAGCGCCACCGCGGTGGCGCGGCCGATGCCGCGAGCCGCGCCCGTCACGATGGCCACGGGGCGCGGCATGTCGCCCCCCCTGGGGCTGCTCTGGCGCTGCTTCATGGGAGGGCGATCGCCGGGGACTCCCAAACGTACCCCCAGGACGACGTACTCCCACAGATGTCGCAGCGGCCACGGTTCCTGCCTCGGTGTGCGCGAAGAGCCTGTGGGTTTCCCGAGGTGGGCCCTGAGGCCCCCACTCAACGGGGTACCTACGTCTGTTCTGGGGCACGCTTGGCCTGCGCTGAGATCAATGAGCGGCGCAGAAACGTGTACGTTTCGTGCACGGCTCCTTTACGGCCCTAAGGTGCACCCTTCTTCACCCCCAATCTGTCGCCCTCCTCCATTGCGCCTCGCCAAAGCTGCGCCCAGCTGCCCAGCTCCAGGGTTTCCAGTGCGCGCTCGAGCTCGAAGGGCTGAAGAGGCATGGGCGGGGGCAAAAATATCAGCTTTACCAAGCCGCGAAGTCTCACGACACGTCACTGACGGCTGCAGGAATTAAATTGGGGGGTCCCGAAACGGTGTGGTGACAGACCGTGCGGTGACCTCGAAACGCCCGAACGGCCTTACCACACGGTTCCTCGCCGCTCGGTTTTGGAACCTCGGAGGCCCCTGTCGCCCGATGCGTCCTCGGAGAACGACACGAGTCCCAAAACCGTGCGGTTTCTCCGAATGCCCGCTGACTCACCGCACGGTGTGGGCACCGCACAGCCTGGGGGCCCCTGAGAGGATGCCCTACGGCAGCGCAATTCACGAGGCCTGCCTGGGCCGGATGCGCCGCAGCCCTCACCGAGGACCACCTGGGTCGCGGCCGAGACGGGGCTGGCGGCCGGAGAGGCCAGGCCGCGACGGGGCTGCTCTGGCACGCCTGCCGGGCTGGGGTGGCGAGGGGCACCCAGGAGCGGCGAGCAAATCCGTATCGGCGACCTCGCGGTCTGGATTCCGGGGCGCGATCCCGCGGATCTACCGTGGCACGGACACGTTCCGCGCGGAGTATCCGCGATAGAACGCCCCGTATCTGCGGGGTCGCGGACCAGGGGCCTGGGCGGCCTGGACTTCGAGGCTGCGGATACGGGTAGATGCAGGAGCAGACAGAGTCGGCACCACCACCACAATCGGAAGGAACCCAAGGGGGGCTGGGCTCCTCCTGGCGGGTTTCCACCCCCCTCTGCGGCGTCCCGCTGGAGGCCGTTTTTTTCGATCGGTGGAAGCCGAACTCGACTTCCCCTGGTATCCGACACAAGAACCCGAAAAATCACGACCAGAGACCCTGACCCCATCTCTCTGAGCCATTTTCGAGCCATGGGGGAGGGCCCCGGGTCCCGAAACCGACTGAAAACGCCCGGCTTGGAAAAACTGACACGCCAGAATCTCGGGGACGTTCGACACATTGAGACCTGGGGGGGCTTGCTGTAATCGGGAGCTCTAGCTCGGAGGGACCTTCGTCTGCGAGAGGTGCGCTCATGGGGCAATGCAGCCTACTGCGTGAGCAGAGGACGTCTGGGCGGGAGGAGCCTGAATCGGACCAGAGTAAGCGTGCGCACGCATCCTTGCTGCGTCCAGCGTTCCCCAAGGACTACGGCAGTCAAAGGGAGCTCTAGCGAGGGGGCTGGAGGAGAGGAGGATCGCATGTAGCCGAGGAGGCACGAGGAAGGACTCGCTGGCCTCATGCAATCCTACATACGCGCAGCGGCAACAATAACATCGCAACGGGAGGAGGAGAAAGGGGATGAGGAATGGTAGCATGATGTTTGTTTGCCCGTGGCGCAGCGGACAGGACAGGCGTCAGAACGGCCTACAGGACGGCCCCTCTGAGAGCTCGGCGGGGGCGCCGTGGCGACTGAAACCAGATAAGGAAGGAACGAGGTGGAGGAGGGGAGGAGAAAGGAGGAGAAGGGCACTGGATGAGAACCAGACGGAAAAGACGGGCGGACAAGCCACGCCGACACGCGGGTTGCCTGAGGCGCAAGCTGAGGCATTCTTGGGCCGTCCTAGGGTCGTCTAGGCCGTCCTGGGGCTGTCTTGCGGGCCTCTCAGTTGGCCTCTATAACAACTTGCCAAGGACATCTTAAAGAGAAAAACGTCGGAAGCTGAACGCCGTGGAACGCCTGAGGCGGAGGATGGTGGAGGACCCTGATTTTTGACGACTCGTTTTATTTGCAGGCCGCTAATCAGATTACGTATGAAACAAGGGGGAGCAAGGAGGTGGACGAAGGGAAAGGCACAGGATGAGGACCAGAAGGGGACGACGGGCGGAGGAACCAACGACCATGAGCGAACGCCTCGGAGCCACGAAGCGGAGGATGGTGGAGGACTCATACCTCGACTCGTTTGTGTGCAGGCCGCTGGCACCTGGACCTCTCGACACCTCCGCCGGGACGGGCGTTCCATGATGAGCCTTTTTGTTCACGAGGTCAATGCCCAGGCACGGGCCCCGGGCGCCGAGGATGGCGAGAAGCCTGCGGCGCGAACGTGGACCCGCTCCCCAGGGCCAGTTCTTCATCCTGAGTCGTCTTTCGACGGTCCCAAACCCCAGCCAGGGCCTTCCGCCGAAAATAACGAAACAACACCTCACATACTGTTACCAGCATGTACCGTTTGGTGAACATTAACACATCATATGTTGAGCTAAAAATGCTTACACGCTGATTCCTGCAGAGGCGAATTTTGAACAGTATGTCCAGTGTAAGACTTCCACGGCGTTGCCACTGAGATCCCCCACCATTAAAGTCAATGCGCATATTCCAAAAGCCAAATTCAGTGCCCACCAAACAAAATCAATGTGCAGTCAATTTACACATTGATTTTGCTTGTGAGAGATTTCCACGGGCAGCGCCGTGGGGCCGCGGAAACTTACAAGGAAGACAATACAAAACCAGGCACAACAGCAACAAGCCGTTGCTGTTACATGGGGGAATAGGAAATGCGAAAGAAAACATGTAAAGTGTCAGTCTCATGCTTTCCTCAGTTTTTTCTCTTGAAAAACACAAGTTGTTTCATATGTTTTGATGTTTTGTCACCCCAATTGTCCTGGTAAACTTCCGCGGTTCCACGGCGCCGCCACTAGGATTCCCTACTATGAAACTCAAGTCGAAACAAAAAACACACACACACGATCACACTCAATGGGTCAACCCATATAACGCAGTTCAGTCTGGAAATTACCACAACAAAATTCAATCTGCAAGCCATCACAACTAAGATCATTGCGTACTCAACTAAAACGAATTTGATTCTGAAAGATTTCCAGAGGCAGCGCCGTGGTGCCGCGGAAGCTTAAAGGTAAGCAAGCAAATTAAGGGGACCAAACAACAAGCATCTGTTTTCGTATGGAAACACTAACAACAAAGGAAGACCTGTTACTGTCAGCGTCTACATTTGTTGCACGAAACAAAAAAACAGCGACAGTCACAGGCTTTCCCGCGTTTCAATGTTTTTTCGCGTGACAGCACAAGCTCCTTCCTGTTTTGTTTCTGGTTGTTCATGTTATCCTGGTAAGCTTCCGCGACACCACGGCGCTCCCTGGAAATCCCACACAAACATCATCGCATTGGAAGCGGAATGCGTATTGATTTCCTGTGGGGAAGTTCAAATTAATTTGATTGCGGAAGTGGCCGGCTTGATTTTGCTTGCATGGTTTACACATTGGAACTGCTTGTGGGGGTGATCGAACCGTTGTTAACCGTAAGGAACCCTGCTGACGGTGCCGTGGAAGCTTACCAAGAAAACAGGAAACAAACAACAAAGACACGATAAAGCTTGCGTCTCCCGCGGAAAAGAGGAACTAGACCTGAAACTGACAGTGCTTTAATGTGTGGCAACTTAGAAAAAAACTACATGTATTCCCCCGCTTTTTCTCTTCTTCCAGGGGCTCCAGTTGCTCCAATTGTTTTTTATAGTTTTCCACAGTGTTGTTCCTGTTGCTCGAATTCTTCATGTTTTCCTTGTAAGCTTCCGCGGCTCTACGGCGCTACCTCTGGAAATCCCTTACATTCAAATCAACTTGAAAGTTGATTACATGTTGATTTCATTTAGTGTGTCTTACACATTGGATCTGTCCCTGGGAATTTCCACATTGACTTGAATTGAGGAGGATCTCAGTGGCAGCGCCGTGGAGTCGTACACTTGAAATGTGGCAGCGCCGTGGACGTCTTACACTTGAAATAATGGTTACCCTTTGGGGGTGCTCATTCGAGCCGAATTAACCCGAAACCTCCGCGCGGCGCGACAACGACCCGAAGGGGCGCACGATGAGGATAACAAGATGAGGGAAATCAAGGAGACACCGAAAACGATGCCGACGAGGTCCAGGACGTGCAGGAGGAGCAGGAGGAGGGAGAAATACGATAGGGGAGCATAATGATAAAGAAATGGGGCGATGAGAGCAATGCAGGAAGGCTAGAATAACGATGAGAAGAACATATCTGAATTCATGGACAATCGCATGATAAACAAAATGATGAAGAATAAACGCATGAGTACAAGTACGATCCATAGCGTTTCAATCGAGAGGAAATCCATCAACAAAAAACCCAGATGCAACGGGTCGGACGGCCCCCGCCCCCCGTCGCGGGCCCCGGATGCGCAGGATGCCGAGGGCGGGCTCCTCCGACGGCCCTTCGAGCGCCTCTCGGGCCATGGCGTGGCGGGGAACAAGAGGCCACAGGATGCCACAGGCCGCGGCCAGGCGGGTCCCCCGCGCCTGGCGCTCTCGCAGAATGCGCCAGTACGTCTGGTCTGCCTGGAAGTTCGGTGGATACACGCCCCAGCTTCCCAAGCCCCCCAGGCATGCGATATCTGGGTTTTGCACAACCATCTTGTGGTGTTGGAACCTCGTTGTGAACAAGCAGCGCCCCGCGTCCTCCCCTCCCGGTCCTCCGGGTCCTCCTCCCCCTCCTCCCTCCTGCCTTTGCAAGGGCACACCACTGCCGTGCGTTTCAAGCCCCATAGGAGCTCCGTTGAAGGCCAAGATGAAAAAGTCTGGATGCAGTCGTGGGCTCCTGTCGCTCGCCCCTGCCACGGCTTTCAAGCCCCATAGGAGGTTCACAGTAGGAGTTCGAAACGAAAAACGTCCGAATGCAGTCGTAGGCAAATTTCGCTTGCCCCTGCAACGCTTTTCGAGCCCCACAGGAGCTCTACATAACGTCAAACTGAAAAAGATCCGCATGCAGTTGTGAGCTCACGCCGCTCGCCCTTGCCACGCTTCACAAACCCCATAGGAACCCCACGAAAGGCCGACATGAAACAAACCGCATGTAGTTGTGAGTGCATGTTGCTCGCCCCTGCCATGCTTTTAGAGCCCAAGAGGAGCTCCACAGAAGGCCAAAATTGTCCAAAGTCCGTGTGCATCCGTTGGCTGAATTCATGATTTCGCTCGCCCTGTCCACACTGCTTGCCCCTGACACTTCTTTCAAGCCC